GTATTGGTTCACTGCTTTGCTGGTGTATCAAGAAGGTAATTCTCATTTGCTGATTCTTTCTACTTTTGAAGTTTGCTTGTTCCCACTTTATAGCTGAGGTACTTTTCAAATTCCTTTTGCTGGTAGAATAATGAGTGTTCATTGAACTGATGTCTGTTATTCTGTGTCTTGGGGTGTCACAGTTTTGTTGGTTGTTGCATATGAACCCACAGTTTCGTATTTACATAGTAGGCATGACAATTTTTGACAAACAACAGTCCCTTAGAAATATTGTTTATCTTGTATTCTATAATAATGGAAGTCCATTTTAGGAATCTGTAGTCAATATGTCCAATTATGTACTGAATTCTTCTTTACTGTTATCACCAATGACAAAGCTTGTCAACTTCAAAGCCCTTCTTTCAAAACGCATTTATTACATATGATAATGTCCATGGATATTCCTCTTCCAGAAATTAATGTCTATGTTGTTAATGCCTTATTTTTCTCCGAGTTTTTGACAGGATCCTAAATGCAACTCACATTTGTATTAAATGAGCTAATACCTTTATGAAACTCTCATATTTAGCACGGTGGATTCATGCTTTGAAGGATGTTGCTCCTTTGACTATTTCCTGGTTGATGTTATTGTCTTTCATTTGCTTGGATTTTAATCAACTGTGAAATCTTTGGAGTAACCTTCTCCAATATGTCCAGAATTACTCCAATATGTCCAGAATTACAAAAAGCTTTTTTTTTAGTAGATGAATCACCCTATGGATCTAAAGGCCAAATGGCGGACGTCAAGCCACCTTATGTAGAGATTGCTGTTGCGTGGAATAACAGCAGTCTGGCTTTCATGTCACTGTGTTTGTAATTTCTGTTCAATTTAGATAAAGGCATTTTAATTTCGTCAGGTCACATGCACTGGATCGATCGACCATGGTTTCTCATGCAGAAATCATGAACTTGGACTTTTAACAAGTTGACCTTGTAAATTTGGTTCTTAATTTAGTATATTATCAAACCATGGAACTCTTTGTTTTCCTGTTTCTATGTTTTTCATTATCTATTTGTGAGCAAGAATTTATCAAGAATGTGGTACATTTTACTTCTATGCTTGGTCATCGCCAAGGTTTTACACACTCCTTTGACTGTTTTGGTTGCAGTGCAGCTATTATTACAGCATATCTGATGAGGACTGAACAGCTATCCCAAGAAGGTTTGAACAATCTCACTTTTGTTTGGCTTTGTTGTTTTTCTCAAGTGTGCATGCGGATCTGTTTTGATTTCTGTGCTTATCTTTCTTGACCTTTTGTTAATTTGGAACAAGGAACAATGATAGTGTTCTTTCCATTTTTGATGTGTTCTACCTTTCTTTTCTTTTATTTTCTTTTTTTTTTTAATTCTTCTTTCTTCTTAGATGGGTTTGCATTTCTGTAGATGCGCTTGAATCCCTAAGGCAAAGCTGTGAATTTGTTTGTCCAAATGATGGCTTCCTGGATCAGGTTGATATAATGCCCTAAAGTTGTCAGCATGTTGGTTTCCACTGTAATATTAGTGGTCTAAACAAGCTTTGTGTCCTTTATTGTGCAGCTCAAAATGTTTGAAGAAATGGGTTTCAGAGTTGATTACGCTAGCCCCATATACAAGCGTTTCCGCTTGAAAGTACTAGGTAGAGTATTCCATTGATATCCTATTATGTTTCTTGGTTCTTGAACTGCATGATTTGCTATTAGTTTTTTTGTGTTGACGTCTAGCATGTTACCTGTTACTCATTTTCCATTATTGGAGTTATAAATTGTGTACTGGATCTGTGTGTTTCAAGTTAGCAAATATTGTTACACCTTGGTTGGTTGTTTGAGAAAAAATTGCATAACTTGTATGTGAAAAATGGCATCCACAGCTTGTGCCTAATGATTTCAGTAAGTTCATTTCATATGTTTTTGCAATGAACTGTTTTCTACGCTTTTTGTTGATGATCTGTTTTCGTACTAATAACTTGTAATACTAGGATTTCTTATGTGTCACATCGTTATGATTTACAATTTTGAGATTTGTTTTATGCTAATCTGTCCCTCTCTCCCCTTCACAAATCTACTTGTGATTTTATTGCAGATGCATTGTTCACACCATATGTTACTTCAGTTTGGAACAGTAGTTGCTTAGTATACTTTAACAGTCCAAATGGTCTATTAGTAACCTTGCCAATGGTGCACTAAGTTACTGCCTGTTTCCATTTTCTGTTAAGAATTGTGGCATATCTTTCATAGCGTATCTATAAAAAATTTTCTTTGTTGTGAGGTGCATTAAAAATTACTATTAATCTTATTTCTTTTCCAAGACAAAGTTGATACATGCCAATTTTTTTCCTGCAGTATTAAGGCCTTAAATCTTGTTAAATTCATCCTAGACTACTGATTTGTTTCATAAAGCTAACATAGCCTTGTGCCTATTTGGAAAGTAACTAAATATGTATTGGCTTAGCAAACATTAATCTTTTCTTGCTAATTCTGGCCAAGATTACTGTGGGAGTTGGCTAATTTGCAATGGTTTTCATTTTAAGGGAATTTTAGGTTAAGCATTTCCTTATTGGTCCTTCTTATACTACTGCAGGTCTTAATTGACTGAATCTAGATAGTATGCAATGTGATCTGGTTTAATTTTGTTTAGCCATGAATTAGGTACATTAAGTTGACCTTGTGTTCCCCATCCATATGATTTACTTCTCAAATAGCATAGATTTACCTCATTACAATTTTTTGACTGACAAAATCCTCCGTCTCTTCACTTTTACCTTTGGAGTAGCAGAAAGGTTGAGTTGTTGCTTTCCTTTTCCTAACATCAGTTAAGGAATTGTGATAGGTGATTCTTACAACCGTGGAGAAAGAATAGACAGTTCAAAATTTGGGACCGATCCTGATTTATCAGCAGCAAAAATCTCTTCTGAGGTTGAAACTAAAGCTAAAATAGATGCAATTCGTTCTCCCTTATACCGCTGTAAGAAATGTCGCAGAGTTGTTGCCCTGCAAGAGAATGTTGTCAATCATCTTCCAGGAGAGGGTGAAACATCCTTTGAGTGGAACAAGAGGAGAAGTGGCAACCCTTTCAACAAGCCTGAAGATAACGAGTGTTCATCTATCTTTGTTGAGCCTCTAGGCTGGATGACAACAGGTATGAAACACTGCACTACCCCATTTTTCCTGGGATTTATGAGACCTTGTGTCGCCTTGGTCATGTTATTCCGATGTGGTTCGTTTGCACTGTTGCAACTGCACTTTTACTGGCTGGTTTGAGGCATTAGTAGGCTGTATGAGAAATCAGAATTTATAGTCAGCTTAAAAAATGTCACGTATTGTCTCTAATCCTGCATCTTTTTCTCTGGAAGAGCCTTTATCCATGACAAAAATAATGATGCATAAATCGGCCCCGTTTTTTGTACTCGAGTTTTTAGCTGAATGACACTCATCCATAAGGTGTCATCTGGCATGTGTCTAAATGTGTGTTTTTGAATCTATTGAGTGATGAATCTCCATATTTTCCCTTGTTTTTAGTTGAAGAAGGTGCACTTGAGGGCAAGCTGTTATGTGCCAAATGTGAGGCACGCCTAGGTTACTTCAATTGGTCGGGTATCCAGTGCAGTTGTGGGAGCTGGATTACACCAGCCTTCCAAATTCATAAAAGTCGAGTGGACATAAGCTCTGTCTAGTTTTTCTCCGGGAAGAAGACAATGGGCATTTATACGTTGTCACATGCTTGATGTATTTCGAATGATTCTTGTGATAAGGTATTTTGAGATAGTTCTAGTGAAAGAGGTATACATTCCTTCAGGAAGTACATGCAGAACAGTTATTGCATACTTTAAACCTCTTGGTGAGTTTATGAAGACTTTTGTTACTCCACCTAGAGGACCAGTCTTGAGTTGCTTGATCATGTAGTGTTAAGAATAACATGACGGATGATTGTGACCTTGCAGCCTTTGCTTGTGTACCAGGGTTGCTGTGATGGTTGCCTGTGTAGGATAAGAAAGTCCTTGAACATTTTTCTCCAATTATTGTAAGTTAAAGAACTACAAAATGGCTGAAAATCAGTCCAGCATAAAGTTTTTTTCAGCAGCATAAATAGTCATTCTATTGCTCAGGTTTGATAAATATTCTTGCATTCTGATGCCTATTGCCTTATAGTACATGTCAGGTAAATATTGGTATCAATTTTACTTGTACCGCCTTTCTGCTATTTGTTCTGTTACATTTGTCCTCCAGAAACAATTTAAAAAAAAAAATTGGTGGCAAAGGGCGCTTCCTTCTAGTTTTTTCAGAGCTCGACGCTTCTTCGAAAATGGAGAGAGCACAAAATAATCACTCTTTAATAAGCAATGTAAAGTGTTCTTCGTTAAGATCATGCAATGAGAACTCTCTCTCCAATTCCCTCCTCCCTAATCAATTATCCATCTCAATTTGGTCGGATATGACCAGTAGATCTTCTGAGAGCGCAAAAATGCGAATTCAGCAACATATGTAGATTCAGGGATATGAGTACCAGAAGAATTTCCAGCAGACTTGTTATTATACTAATGTATGTATACTCAGTTCCCTGAAAAGGCTCAAAACTTTAGCAGATACCTGAATATGTTGAGCACTCTGTTACTAACAGTTTCCATCTTACTGTCTTGCCCATTCAGACCATCTTGAAACATGGACCAAGCATCATAAAATTGAGCAAGGACTTTATTGAGAATCAACTACAACAAGAGTCAAATCACTTGAAAAATGCGAATGAAGCTTAGGGGCAAATGCATTGCTGCTACCTATATGGCTTTCCAACGCGCGATTCTGTACTTCTGTAACAAGTAGAATCTTGAACTGCTCCCAAAGATGATTCTTTAAATGCGTAGTTGATGATGGTAACCAAACACAAATATGATATGCAGAAATTTTTGGAATGGGGTAACATGCAGAAAATTTTAAGGAATGGTATAACAAATTTCTGATCTGAGTGGTGGATATGCTAAAGATCATCAATTGCCAACCTCCCACAACAAATAAATTAATTGCGAATTCATTTAAAACATGAATACAAGTAAAGAAAACAATAAAACCCTAATCAAGGCTGGGCATTGATGAACTAATGACAAATGTCCATCCATCAAATTGGTCCAATTCTTTATCTAGTTAGATAAAGTGGCTGGAAACATTTGGATGTACTAAAAATAGTCACAGATGTCTCAGCAGCAATGATGTTCATTCAGATGGTAAAATTAGCTTCATCAGAAAGGTCATATATTTGCAGACACCTGAAGATGTAAAACACTATATTAACAGCTTGCCTACAAGAATTTTCTACACATTCGTGTTTAGACAATCCTAGAGTTTCCAACTTAAAGTGACCAGAGATAGTTGCCCTCAAACTAAGCAGTAATATGACAACCTATGGAGGCAAATCAAATCCCCAAAGAAAATCAAGAAGGGTCGAATTATGGGAATTTGCAATACCATTGAGTCACAAAATGGTTGCTATTTTGCAGGCTGACTGCCTCTTGCATCTGTCGCAATTTAGCCTTTGAATCAAGATCCAGCTTGCATTTCTTGAATGCTGGAAATCTGCCATTCTCAGCGCGCTTGCGACTCAAGAAGGATGTTGGTAGCTGCATTAACATCATTTCTAGCGCGGATGAGAGCTTGCCTTGCAGAGTTTCTGTCAAAACCCATTGAAACAAGGGTAGAAATAGAATCCTCTGGGGGGTCCACAGTGGAACGGACAGGAGCAGGATAGTTTCCCTAAAACCAAACAAGAAAATAACAGTTTATTCAAGGGGTACAAAATGTTAACCAGACAAATCACAAAACACATAAAGAAAGAAATGAAACACAACCAAAATATCTAAGGAGTACTCAAAGGTAATTACTGGCAAGAAGCTTTTGAAAAGGCAAAAAATTTCTAATAAGATTGCACATTTTATTTCATTGAAAGAGTTAAGGCCCTGGTCAGTGGAAAAATCACTCATTTTCTGTGACAAGTAAATCATCGGTTCAATAATAATCAAGTACTTGACGTGTATGGTAACCTAAGCCTCCAAATAACTCGTTCCCCTTCGCCCCCCCCCCCCTCCCCCAAAAAATGAAGAAAAGAAAAAGCTAGCTTGGGACATGACAATGAAATATCATTACTTCATATGCTTTGATATTGCCATTTAGCATCGTTCACAACTATTGTCATTTGGCAATTTGTTGAGATTAAATGGATGGCACTTTTGGGAAAAGACGGTGGTATCATGTTCAAAGCAATCGAACTAATCTTTTAGGAACAACACAACATGTAATGCAACTCTTTTCTGGGAAGGTACAATTGTGAACATACAGTCACTTTAGTTCTTTAAAATCATACATTAGATGTCTAAAACAAATTCACTTATAACTCCACAGAAAGAATCTCTGTCAAGTTGCAGATTGCAAATGAGCAATTTACAAAATAATTCATTTATGATGGCATAGAATGTATTTAAAAAAACTCATTTTTGGAACACAAAACAAAAGCACCACCAATCATCTCCAGAGCTAAAGCAACAATTTGAAATTTTGGAGTCATGAAAGAAGATGACACATCATATACCCACAAGGGTCTTTAGCTGAAGTATGCTTATTTTAGTAAGATTATTTGCCTGGTACACAACCAAGAAGATAGTTTCTCAAAGTACCACTTGCATTCACTTAAAAATTAAACATAAAAAATAGAAATAAAAAACTATCTAATAAACAATTAATAACCAAATAGATATATCACCACTAGGAAGATCCTAGTCACAAAATGAAAACGGGGATTGAGAAAGGATTGATATAACAAAGAGAGTGGCAGAAGAAGGTGCCCATTTCAGTAGATCAGAAAGGAAGAAAACTAATAAGAGAAACATAAGAAACTTGAGGAGTTTGTAATCAGGAAAAAGCAATTAGATGCACAAAATAGGAAACAAAAACAGTATTAATCATGAAAACCAAAAACAGTGCAGCAGGCATCAGTGATGAAAATAATTTAAATTACTTGCCTCCACTTGGCGACCTGCATAGGACGGCATATTTCCCACAGTATTCCTAGCTGGTGCAGCAGGTGGTATATTCCCCGAAGATGGCCATGAAAGTCGAGAGAAGAAAGAAGCGATAAATTCTGGAAACTGAGGGGTAAAAGAAACACAGATGGGTCATCGCGCAAAGAGCTCTAAATAAAAGCAAATATGTGCATAGAGCTTTAAATAAATATGTGGATAGAGCTTTAAAAGCAAATGGATGGGTCATCGTGCATAAAGCTTTAAATAAAAGCAAATATGTGGATAGAGCTCAAGCAACAACCACCTCAGATGTGTAGCTTACAACATAAGTCTGTGTGTGGGGGATAGAGCTCTAGCAATAAAAAGCTTATTATGTATTACCCAACAAAGAAAACAAGGAATTCCTGCCGCAAGATCAACCTCATGATACAATAATAATAGGAATAGACAAGCACCCAATAAGCTTAGTTGGAAACATGTATTGATGTTTTCTGATTTGAGAATTCAAGAATACTAAAACTAACATTTCCTGCAGAATTTTTCTACTCTTCTGAAATGCCCTAGTTATGGATCCAACAAGCATATTGATTTTGAAATTCTTTTCTTAGTATCAATAGCTGGGACTAATAAAGAACCACCAAAGTATGCGTAGTAGCATAAAATTATCAAATCATTTAAATTACTTCTATGCAATCGAACAAATAAACAAACCATGGGCAATGTCCCCGGAGCTAAGAAGGATAGGATTTTATTCTCTATAAAAGAAATACGTGTATTACCGACATAAGAACACGGACTCAGAAGTCAAGCAAGTAATATTCAACTTTAGAAACATATCCTATTATTTTTCATATTTCTTTCTAGCTGCCCCTTCTAGATACAATCATCATCCCCTTAGGCTAAGAAGGATAGGATTTTATTCTCTATAAAAGAAATATGCGTTTTACCGACATAAGAACGTGGACTCAGAAGTCAAGCCAGTAAATATACAACTTTAGACACATATCCTATATTTTTCTCACTTCTTTCTAGTTGCCCCTTCTAGATGCAATCATCATCCCCTTGAGCAATAAGTAAAAGAAGACACCATGTGTTATGAATAGGCTAATCGCAATCAGACTAAGCAATTTAACAATAGATGATAAACCAAAGCATTTCACCCACTCAGGTAAAACTAGCAGATTCAGAAACAAGAAAACAAGCCATCCTTATAGATGATAATAGCACACACTAGATCCAACAGAACAGAAAAAGATTTTATGGAGAATGCAATGCAACCTTCATACTGCGTATGCGGAGAATATTCAAACGATACAAGGAACCAGCAAGAATGCCACAGATCCCCGGCAACAGAGATCTTTTCCATGATGAGAAAAGAAGCTGAGAGATGGAAAATACACATCAGTTAGGATAAAGATTGTAAACCCAAAATGAGTGAGTATGAAAGGACAGTAAATGTTTCGGAAAGAGCAATAGCACATCCACATGAGTACCTGAAGACCAGCTACATATATAAATGTCTTGTCGGAGAAGTGAAGGCTAAATACACGGTAACGAGTCGAGACTGGTATGTCAAGATAGAAAGGAACAAAGGAAGCAAATATAAGACCATAGGGACCCGATGTGAGAGTCTTCAAGGAAGAATCTGCACAAGTAAAGCTAAGATAATTGAGTCCTTTCCAGTCTCAAAGATAAAAGAATAAACCCAAATAGAGTGGCAAGAATATTTACAAGAAGCATCTACCACATGTTGATCAAACCCCAAGCCAAGACTCTTTTTCAACTCAACCATTCAACTTAGTATTCTTTGCTATAAATATTGAGGCCTTCTGACCCAGCAAGACCATATAACACAGACAAGGTAACACACATCATCACAGATTATCTTAAATCAGCACCCTCAGAGTAACAAAATCCTCTGATTAGAATATATGAAATGGCAGCATTATGCTCCATCCACTTTCAATCAAAGGAAACAATCGCAGAATCTTTCTATAGCTGTCTCAAGCCATTTTTAGATGATATAATTATTGAGCCAAGTATTTCTGTACTTTTGCATTGTCAGGTTCATTATCGATGAGTTATACAAAATGCAACACATCATGTCACTCAAGAAGAGAATTTATTGACTTTAGGATGGTTCTACAGTTCTCTTGATGACTAGAAAGCAAATTTGCTTATTCTAGATGCACAAAATTAGGTAAAAAGATTGCCAGCTAAGATTTCAACATTCAGCCATTTCAGTATTTTTACATCAATTAGTTATGATATCACAAAAAGCCAATGCATATCTTTCTACAAAACAACATCTTAGGTCTCTCAGTGATATTTGTACCATAATACATGTTCCTCAACTTACTAGGTAGGCAGGCATTTTTCTGCTAGACTATTTTCAAGGCAGTCCTATCATATGCCGGCAGTCATGTGCCAGATGAGCAGCTCATGGGCTAGACAAGAACTGCTTCTGTTACCCGGACTCAGCACCATAACACAAGGTACCAGAGTCGATACAACACCACACTGAACTGGTATGGATTTGATACCTGGATGCAGTTTAAGATGATTGGCTCTGATGACTTTTGACTCTGACAGAAGCTCTAACTTAGACGAGAGCTGTCTTCTTCTAACAAAATTTTCTTGATATAGCCGAAAAAACCAAGAAAGTCAAGGGATCAAGAAGAGAAGAATGGTGCCAGTTGTTGTAAGTTGATAATGCTGAGAAATGTGGAACGCTCCAAGCTGACAAAATATCGGAGACTCCTATTGTCTAAGATATAAGCCGTATGGGTCACATGAGATTGGACAAGGAATGTTACCATCTATGATCCATTAAAAAATGACCACTGATTTATAAAGCACAGAAAATAACTCTCATAAATTCTGAACCCATATGAGTCACTATTTAGGTTTCCTTCCGGACAGTCACAATAAAATGAAGTAGTTTGGCTCCTGAATGTGTAGAAAACCTAATGATGCAGTCTTCATTTGAAAAGCATTCAACCAGGTATTTTGCTAGGAAAACATCATTAATTGTACAAGGATATCTAAGTAAATGATTTACAAAATACTAACGAACTTTTATTACATAGCTTATTGAAACATTGATATCTGAGTCTTTGGCAGTGCCCCCATGTCCTTATCTTCAGGAAGTACACAAATCGACTGGTGTTGACACGCCCAATAATCATACCCAAGTCTGTCTAGCTTAAAGAAAACCACACCCAGTAATCATACCCAAATCCATCCAACTTAAAGCAAAACCATGTGCTTAGTATAAGCAGCACACATGTACTTGGACATGTTCACGGACTTCATTTGTTTTCCCAATGAAGGTTGTCTTAATTAGTTCAGAAACAAATTCAGCAGCCTAAATAAAATGTCTATATTTCAGAACCAGTAACAAATTTGTTATGGAAAATTAAACTCACAATGCCATCCTTACCTAATCTCATGTGACCCACAAGCCCAATGTATATTCATCTCAGACTGTTTGCCTTGTTGGAACTCCCCACTCTCCTGATTGTTAGTCATTCACAAGTCACTGATCAATCAGTGCATATGAGTTCCAGTAGAATATCTTCACCTCTTTTCCATCCTTTACCTTTCTCTAATTTTTAACTAAATCATGGACAAGAATTCCCAGAAAGATGACTCTCAATTTAAGTTGAAGTTTCCCTAAAAGTCACAAGTCAATGCCTGATCTTGTTTGACCAGATCAGGTAAAAATTGCAGACTGTCGTCTATGCATCTCTCAAATCACAACAAGTGCAACTGCATAAAGTGCCAAGTCCACATAATAGCGACACTGGTACCCTAACATGTAGTGTCAAATTTATATATGCTGCAAGCTCCTTACAGAGGGTTTCTCAGTGCAGACTTCGTTCCTGAATCTGAACAACTACAAATACCATTTAACTGAAGGAATGCTCTCAAACTGAAGACAAGTTACAACCGTCCAGGCTGCCTCCGTTATCCAGGAACAAGTGGCTATCAGTCTGGTTCAGTTTCATTTAGAAGCCAAACAAACGGTCAAACTGGTCAAAGCATCCAGACCTGGTAACAGAGAACTGACCAGTTAGAACCTGGTTTTCTGTTACTGTGGACAATACTCACAGCATAAAAAGTTGGTTTGCTAAGTACCACACATCTCCTTATTGCTCTCCATAGTAAACCAGATACCCTCTTCTTCTAACAGTCTTCCAAATCTTATCACTTAGCCCAATCTTCCAACCTCTCAGCCCTTTCCTATTCCATCAGATCTTAAAAGGAAATCTCAAACTAAGAAGAATTTCTTCCTCCAGAGATCCAAAAGCCACTTACGGCTATTCCATAACGACTTTTGCCCTGTTTCTCATGTCTTTCACCAGTTCTGGCTGTTCTTCTTTGGCATCATTGTGAGCCAACAGAAGTAGTATGATTTTTCCATGGTTTGAATTCCCTTTAGACTATGTTCCATCTTAGCTCTGAAGTAATATCATCATGAAAGGATTCAAGTTGAATGAAAGATCAATCTCTAAAAAAATCCATTTATAACTTGAGTTGGATTCAAGAGCTAGACAAGAATACAGAAAACTATCAACTTGTGAAAAACAGCTAATGAGATATGTACACAGTAAACAAACAGCTACCAGGTAAAAAGAGGTGAAAATGTCATTTAAAATTGTATTCATGTAGATAACATATTGACAGTAACAGCAATGAGAATCTGTAGCATTATTACTCAAATTCACATCAATCACAAGATGCCCTCTCAATGACTGAAAAAATCTCTCTATGTGCAGAGGAAATGCTTTCAGGAAGGCAGTAAAACACTAGCAAAAGAGAAGGCATATTACACTACATCAAGAAGAAGGCAACAGCAAAAAGAAACTTGCTTGTTTGAAATACTTTTCTACTTTTGCTGGTGTGAAGCTATGTATACCAATTCAGAAGGTTGCATATAGATAAACATCAATTTACCATACCTTTAACAATTTTCATTGCAAGGACCTCAAGCACTAAAGAGACGATTGCAGAGAACAAGATAAACACCTGCAAAGTAAGGCATATCAAACTACATGAGCATATTGTTCTTCCCTTTCCGTTACCATGATTGACGCAGTACTATTCATAAAGTGGCCGTTTGAATGATCAATCATGAATCAATATGAGTATTATACCAACAAAAAGTGGTACAGAAAATATCACATAACAATCATCACCTTAACAGGTGTAGCAAGCAAAAAAATAAAAGAACATTAGTTTGCAAAACAATGATATATTTGAGATGATCCACAATTTAGTCATTAATAAATACAAACTCTTCAGTGCCCAATAAGTAGTGGATGTACTTTAGCAGTGTTCAATTGCATATAAAAGAATGCTAAAATCAACATCGTAGCTGTTGACAAAGAGAGTTTCAGTTCTTTAAAGGATAGTACAGTGGCACTCTAACGCAGACCATCTTTAGAATACGGACATGACAAATATTGGAACTCTATAATCAGTAAATACTTAAATATCCAAATTGGACAAATGCAGTAAGATCTTCATATGGCTAGTTAATATACATGGTACAACCTTCTTGTTTTGATGACATTGCCAACAAAAATGTTTTTTTTCCATGATATAAAGCAAAAGAAGTTGATTCTATGGTTGTCCAAAGGAAAATTCAAGTTGCACAATACAGAAAATAGTTCCAAATAGATAATGTTGCCGCAAGTAGATCGAATTTGCAGAAAAGAAATTATGTAAACTTTTTTCATATCTTATATTTATTGGACAAATGCGGGAACATTATTTTCATCCAATTAAAGTCAAATACCAGCAGGAAATCAGAAAACATAAGATTGTGAAAACATGGAAATTGTTTCATCGTCCAATAAACATTAAATTGTTGTGTAAGACAGCCACTTAAATAATAAATATTTCTTCTGAACACCACTTACAGAGTACTTATTAGAGCCGATTTGCCTCTCAAATATACGAAAGTAATAAAGCAGATATGTTCCAAAGATGAGTTCTGGTGTAGACGCAAAACCAAAAATGGACAGTATCAGCTTCCAAATTTGAAATTTTTTGAATATATCCTGCCAAAGGACAAAACAGATTGTCAACAACCTAGCTGAATTTCAAGATTTCAGAACAGCGACCAAACACCTCCAACTACAAAAGCATTAGTATCGAAAACTATAAAAGTAACAAAGAATAATTGAACTTATTCTCTCCTGTGCATTAAAATAAGGATTTGACTCTCCCGAAACTATCAAATCAGTAGAAAACCTACTGTTCTCTGTGGCATATACTGGCACCAGATTATCAGTTCATCCATATGCTCTGGATATGTAAATGTGTCTGAGACAGACAGAGAGATGAACTTGCAACTGTAATGATTCATATAGCATATATAAACAACTAAAGCATGTTTCAGTGAATGCATCATACAGCACATGTAAACAACTGAAGCTTGTTTAAATATTTATCACTACATTGTATGCCGTATTTAAGAACTAAATTCAATTTAGATAACCTTAAACTTCAAATTAAATATATGAAAGTCAATAAACTCCATAAATCTGACAAATAAGATATCTGTCCACTGATATTTAAGAGGGCCTGTTAGCCAACTTACAGATAAAAAAGGAAACTAGAAGCACCTTCAGATGTTCCACCGAAAAGAAGCCTTCCAAGTTTTGAAGAAGCTTTATATTTTCACAAATCACTCGGTTCAACAGGTGATGCATGCAGTGAAAATTTTGCCACTCTTTAAGCAAATTTTCTAAGTACAGTTGCAGCATACTTACAACATAAATACACATACCCAGCCCAGATATCCCCCAAAATGCCCATAAAGGAAAAGGCAGCATAACACAAAAGACATGCACACTTGGCATCTCTCATATTTTTTCATGCTCTTTTGCGAACTGCATACTTCTGGTCTCCAAAGAAGTTGTCACAATAAAGTAAAGTCAACTACCATTAATTTTCTAACCATTTTTCAATTCTAAGAAGAACTACATCAGCACAATGCAACAGAAGACTAATCATCTCACCATCAACGCTAGAAATAAGAAAGGACAGGACAAGGAAATATTTCCAGTGTACCAGCAAAATGTCACAGTATAAAAACCATCAATTTCCTCTCGTCAAAAAAGCTATGGCAACAGTTAAAAATCTGTAACTGATTTAAATACCAATACAGGTAAAGTTGGGACAGGACAAGTTTCACATACAGCTTAAAGCTTCTTCGCTAATTGTAAGCTAACTTAAGCTTGTCATGGCAATTCTTCAACTTACTCAGTCCAAGTTGCATCAGCCTGTTTCTTTACGCTATTCTCGAGCATACCCCACATATAGGCTTGTACAAAATTTTCTCAGGTGAGAAGGTTGCTAATTGATGCACTAATATGGGATCTGAAGGAATATATTTTCCGACAGACAATGATTGAAACCCGACAGAGTATTAATTAAGCTTAAAGCTAGCGCAGAGTACTAGATAAGCTTAAAGCTAGTGCTTGTCATGCCCTTCTCTTCAAATACCTTAAGATTCTTTCACTCACTCCAAGTAGCATCACCCCCACTGATCACTCTAACCAATACACTGTCCTAAAATCCTCATTCTCGATACAAATTTCAAAAAGCAAGAATAGATAACCAACAATATTAGCTAAAACAAAAGCACACCCTAAATCTTAACATTTCAATGTTATCTTTGCAGCAGGATACAAATTTCAAGAACTGAAATGGCGGACAAGGGAATCAAAATCCATAAACTAGTTCAAATCAACTTAATTCCAAAAATTGACTAGAAGGAAATCTTCAGTCCAGGACCAGAAACTAATATATACACAATTAAGCAAACTCTCTTCCTCTCAGTACAATGGACTTCAATCAAGCCAAAATTAACTTAAGCTAGTTGAAGGACAAATCTATCTACTGACCACCAAACCTCTATATCCTTTTCACATTGTTATAGACTGATGATAAGAAACAGTTGCCGATGAACTAACATAAAAATCAACAGTTATGCTTCTCATTCCATTGGAATTACAGAATTCTAACACAATTCAGGACTGGAAATATAGTAATACTACAATATAAAAGAAACCCAGGAAGGACAATCAATCAACTGCAAACAAAAAAAAAACTTTTTTAAAAAAAAATTAACCAAAAAAAAATGAACAGTACCTCATAGGACCATCCAAGCTTATTAGAACGGCCCTGGATCCCAAATATAATAGTGAAAAGGACACATGCGATCACCAAAATTCTCGTCACTGGTGCATTATCTGGGATTTCATAAATATATACGAGTCAAATATCAAAAACACATCACCCAAAATAGAAAGCACAAAAAAGAAACTGGAAACGGAATCAAAGAACATACTGAAACCAGATGGGCCGCCGTTCATTTTTGCGAAGAGTGAAAATCAAACGACGACCTGATTTCTTCACACAAATTATTGATTTCTCTTCTTTCTTTTTCTCTCTCTCCTTTTACTTTCTTCTGTTTCTTGTTTGGGTTCGGTTGTGCTGCTGAGTTCACTTGGGTTGGGGCTCTGAAATACTGTTGGAGTTGGGCTCTTTCCATTTCAAGTCTCACTTTTTTTCATTAAAAAAATTTTTAAAAAGTTCTCACTTTTTTAAAAGTATTTTTATTAGTTTATTATCATTTTATTTTTGACACAGGCTATAATTACTAAAATAGGGTATGGGAATAATAAGAAATATATTTTTGCATTTTCATATTATTTGAATATTTTCTAAAGGTATGATTAAAATTAAAAAATCCGAGTACAACATAATTATGTAAAAGTAATAAACTTGGATTATTACTCGTAGATTATATAAGTTTAATTTCATACCTATAAATACAAGAATAGAACATGTTAACCCCATAAACTTTGGCAGTAGCCATACTTTTAACTCCTTAAACCAATATATATATATAAACACACACTTTTTGTCTTTTCATAATGGTGTTGAAAAACATACAATAACAAAATTCTAATCTTGCCCTCACAATTAATAACAATTTAGCTCCTAAACCCGAAGACTAATGGTATAGTACTTTTCAAATTGACTAAATTAAAACCCGCTCATACTACATTCACACTTATGTATAATTTGGACAATAATCCCCTTATCTAACTTTTTTTGTGCACTTTGTAAAATATACATCCAATTACACAACACAAAAATGAAATATGAATATGTTCAATGTTAAGCACCCCACGGGCAGCTCGGCCGGTACTGATAAATCCGTCTTTACGGTAAAGTCCCGTGTTCGACCCACGTTGTGGTAAACTTGCTGGCATCATTGGGCAGGGCTCTGCTGGTCTTAGGGGGATTAGTCTGGCAAAAAAAAAAAAAAAAGGACCGGAACATCCCCTAAATGGTAAAAAAATATATGTTCAATGTTAGAAAAAATTAATAATTTGTGTTGGACTAACATGAAAATGAAAAATTACAAATTTAAGTCAGCATGATAAAATGAAATATAACACATATTTAGTAAGTATTTGAACGATGATATCCAGATTTGCTTAACTACAAATCAAATTAATAGCAACAATGAAGCTGAAATTGGTTAATATCTAATTGACTCAAGTTAAATCTAATTGGTTAATAGCAACAGTGGCAAGTTAAATTGTTAGAAAAGACCTTTTAATAGAGAATGCAGATGGAATAAAAACTTAAAAAAGAAAAAATAAATTTCAGCCTCTTTTGTATAACATTACTTTAACTGGACAAAGAATAAATTCATTTTAGTGAATAAATTAACTTGGACAAATCATCATGAAGGGGTTAAGTGGGCAACCAAAACATAGACAAAGCAGTTTTTTTTTTTCAAGAATTTCATAATTTTCTGCTCTTCTTAGAAACTTAGAGTATACCATCATATTTCATGCAATGAATTTTTTCGTTCTTCGCTTTTAAAATAATAGCTATATGTCCCAAACAAAATCAAATCAGTAGTAATTTTTTGTTCTAACCTAGATTTTTTTATCACTTTTTGCATTGAATTCATCACATGACCTACACTTGGTCTTTTTTTAGGGGCAAAAAGAGTAAATCCCATTTGTAGTTAAAGAAATGACCTGATTTATATTCATTTTTGCCCCTCAAAAAATAGGATATGATCCAAACCATATTTCTTTTTTGCCCCCAAAAAATTGGAATCTGACTAAATTCATATTCATTTTTTTATACAAAAAGAAAAAAAAAAGTGACAAAATCTTTTTGTACATAAAAAATGATTCCGTGTGGGTCACTTAATGATCTTAAGTCAAAAAGTGATCAAAAATTTAGGTTGGGACTAAATTTTACTAACTTGAATTTATAAGAAACGTAAATTTAACATTTAAAAAGTGAATGATGAAAAAATTCATTTAACCAAATGTGAAGGACATTTTGAATGATTTTTCCTATGCAATAAACATGGGATTACAATTGACGAAGGTCAAGATTCATAAAGCATAATGTATGAGATTATCGAAGTTGATTCCAATTGGATCTCAATCGAGGCAAATATATGGACTCGAAAGGACTCCACGAGTGATTCTTAAACGTGCTTTCTTCTCTTTCAGAAAGATAATCCTGGTCAGATCAAATTCCAGACACAAAAATTTGAGAGATTGATCTTTTTCTTGATCATATGATTGACAAAATGACACTAATATGTATAGGGTCCAGGGACATGCAATAGGAAGATGTGTAAGCTAGTCATTCCTTGGAGAAAATGACTGCATTTGCTTTATTTAGCAGAAGATCTACATTACCATTGTAAGCCCTTCAAGGCCTCTGCATCAAACTAGACAAAATTGAAGCCTCAGAACTAAAAACTTCTACAAGTGGCTTCCATATGTGCCATTCTATATACAGTTGGAAAAGGGCCAAAAAACCCTCTTTACACTGCAGATGCCAAAGCAGCCAGTCATACACTCATACTATTCTAAGGTACTGGTTGGCCAAAGGCTTTTCCATGTTGAAATCTCATTTTCATTGCATAGCTTTCTGATTCCTCCATAAAAGCCATCTGCTCCATTGCCTACTTCTCGGTGATCCCTCCTGTTTACGATTGTTTGTCTCCATCGCGAGCTAGGGGCATACTGCTTGAACTCCAGCACTACACTGTCTGTAAATATGAATGAGTTCAGGAAAAGAATCAGATGATTTGAAACTCCCTTAAAGAGTAGACATAAGACTTTCTTTTGAGAAGATGATAAGTGTCATTGACATGATGAATTTCTCATGAAAAATGTCCTAGCATTGTTAAGGCGAAGGCATGCTTGAGTTTTGAAACCATGCAGCACTACTTTTGGTTTTAGATAACCAGTTTACTCTTATGTTTTCAAGCATAAGAGTATGATGAATAGTGGACAAAAACATTCATTTGTCACAGTAAGAAGCTCAAATTTGGAGGCATTTCTTTCAAAGCCTTCTTCTATCTTTACTCCAAATTTGTTACTGAAAGACAATACAAGCTAAACAAGCTAAATAGTTCAGTTGCAGTATATGGTGTGACACAACTGTAACTTGGCAGATAATTTCTGTAATTTTGCAAGTTCAAAAAGGTAAAAGATGTTTTAGGACCATCAATTCATCATTAGATTCAGATTATGCCGATGCCAGCTACATATCCATGAAATGTATTGCAGGCACACGGAGCACATACATTTGTTTAAGGATTTAGCTTCAGTAAATTGGACAAATATAAGGAAAGTTGTCTAGGGTTGCCCAGGTAAAAGATGTTTTAGGACCATCAATTCATCATTAGATTCAGATTATGCCGATGCCAGCTACATATCCATGAAATGTATTGCAGGCACACGGAGCACATACATTTGTTTAAGGATTTAGCTTCAGTAAATTGGACAAATATAAGGAAAGTTGTCTAGGGTTGCCCAGGTAAAATTTTAGCCAAAACAGCAGGAGAAGCATGCAGCTTGAGCACCAATAGATGATGAATAAAACAACTGAGTAAGGTTTATGAATCATCCCAGTCAATGACTGCTTTAGTCTCCCGGGTAAGAACTGATTTTTTTGTCATAGAATATTTGGCATCTAAGATGATGCTGAGATAATTCCTCAACAGTGGCAAAGAAGTGGGAAAAAAATGGTAAGAATGCTAAAAGGTGTTAATTGGCTCATACAGTATCAAATGTCTAGTTAAGTGCAATTTTTCAATTGTCAAATCAGAGCAAAAGTTAAAGAAGATATGCAAAGGCTTGAGAAATATACAGTCATTGCCCTGATTGTCTAGCCATAAAACTTAATTATGCCCATAAAACAAAAGAATCCAATTGACATACCATTTAGATGACACTGGCAATGCGATTCCTGGCCTGTGCATGACTCCAAGTGTCCAACAACTCCATACCACCAACCTGAAATTTATTGAAACCAGAAATCAGAAGTGCCTCAATCAAAAGAGAACTCAAAAAATGAACCTAATCTGATGCTGATACAGTGGCAAAAATGAAAATCCAGTAAAACAGAAGGGTCAAGGGAGATACATCAAAGGGGATACACTAGGGGACAAGAAACATACCATATGGGAAATCTCTGTTCCTTCTCCACTGAACCTCTATGTGATCACCAGGTTTCAGATCATGCAGACAATCTGAGACATGAAGGACATGTGCAGGGATATCAACTGCTGGTGCCCTTATCCTATTCCACTTTATGTTGTCCTCTATTGTCGGCCTTCGCCCAGGTGCTGAGTACCTGCAATAATGCCTAATTAGTATTTCAAACAACCAACTCCAAAATATGTCCCAAATCACTGTTGCAAACAGAACTAAATGCTTTCCAAGAGGTTTACTCAAGAAAGTTACCTAACTAATAATGATCAGCATCCCTTGTGTAGCCTTGGGATATGTAATGTGCAAAAAGAGATTGCAGAAAACATTTACCTTGCAATAAAGGTGTCTGTGCTTGAATCATAGCTCAACTCAGCATCATAACAAGAGAGCATAAACCCAACTTGGCCATTCTACAGGTAAAATTCCACACGTTAATCCAACCAAAATTGGTAGTCTGGAAACTAAAGGTCTTTTGTACTTGTAATCCAACCAAAGGGGGAAAAAATAAAAGAAGAATCAAAATTAGGCAACTTCAGTGAATTACCTCGCGGTTATAAACCTGGGCTGGAAACCGGAATTTCCCGGTTTCAATAGCAAGATACCAAGCCTTTACAGAATCCAACCAAAATTGGTAGTCTGGAAACTAAAGGTCTTTTGTACTTGTAATCCAACCAAAGGGGGAAAAAATAAAAGAAGAATCAAAATTAGGCAACTTCAGTGAATTACCTCGCGGTTATAAACCTGGGCTGGAAACCGGAATTTCCCGGTTTCAATAGCAAGATACCAAGCCTTTACAGAATCTACAGGTAAGGAATTTCTCTGCTCAGTAACAATCTCATTTTCTCTTGATCTATTCCACATCTTATCAGAGAAGATTGAAAAGTACCCAAGTAATCCTTTTCCCCTTTTACTCTCCTGTAGCTTAGCTCTGTTTCTTGAAGCAATGTAGCATTGCCATTGTTGATACGCTGC